GGGGGTCTGTGGAAGGAAGGGATCTCGGTGGAGCTGTGTGGCCCCAGTGGGGCTAGCTGGAGGGCTGGGATGGGGATGGAGGGGGCAGCTGGAGCAGAGAGGGGAACCTGGGAGCAGGGGTGTCCTTGCAGCCCCGCCCCCCTCCGGCAGGGCAAAGCCCCCGTCTACATCCCCTCAGCAGAGAGAACAAAGCTGGCGGGAAGCCAGGGCCCCTGAGAAAAGGGAGAGAGCAATCAGCCAGGGCTTCCCCCCTCTCTGCCTGCCTGGGGGACAGGAGGAGTGGAGGGGAAGTAGACAGAGCTCGGGGCTGCTGGGCTCCAGGCTCCCCCCAGGCTGCGTAAGGGGTTATGGAGACAGGTGGCCCCAAGAAGGGGGCTGGATTCCTGGTCATGGGTGCGAGGGGAGGGGTGGGGGGGTTGTTATAAAAGGAAATACCCAGGAAGCACGACCAGGCAGGCGTTCTCAGCTGTGGGACCAAGGGCCCGGCATGGCTGGGGGTGCAATGCCGGCACATGCAACGAGCTCAGTGTTCTCAGCTCAATGGCATCAGGCCCCAAGCTCAAAGATGGGGCTTCTTCCCCCCTATCCCCAATGTAGGACTCCTGGGGTTCAGACTGAGCCCCCAGAGGCCCCCCAGCCCCCAAAGCCCAGCTCAGAAGTTTGGCATGAGAACCGGGACATGAGAGTGTTAAGGGGACTCCACCAGCCAGTGCCACCCCCGACACATTGCCCTGCAGCAGGAATCCACATTGCCCTTGACCTCTTCCTGGGTGGATCTCAGCCCAGACCCTAGCAGACAGGGTTTACCCCAAGATGGCCTAAGCAGGGGCATTCGCAGACCACAGGTTGGCAAACCCACCCCATTGCTCCCTGGCTGGCCCAAGAACTCTCCAGCTGGGGCTTTGCAACGGTCTCTGCAATAAATCTGTTTTGAAGGGGCCAGGATCTGCTTGGTGCTGAGGTCCCTCCACTCATCCAGCTTGGAAACCTCTGCAGAGATCTCATAGTAAGAAGCCCAGCCCCAGGCATGTCAGGAGAGGGCCATGTCACTGGCAGGATGATGGAGGGGCCAGGTGGGCTTTGATCTCCGAAGCAGGGCTGCCAGCAGTCCTTGGAGAGTGCATGCAGCCCCCCAGGCTGGGGGAGGAGGGGAGCAGAGC